GCATATTAAATAAGCCAGGATAAAATTTAAGAAAATATTAATAAAAAAAACTTATTGCAAAAATACATGAATTTTTGTCATATTTTAATTTAATATACTGTTCATTGAAAATTATGAACCGCTTTTCAATTTATACACTTTTATACTTAATTTGTAGTTAAAAAAATATAATTTATTAATAAAATTTTACGGCAAAATTTATATAAATTAAATAATTAGTTTATTTTTCTCATAATTTAATATTTGTCAAATTATTACAAAATACAACATTTGGTTTTTTCATATCACTAATAAATGTTGTTGGGTTATGATATATATATATGTTATTGTAATAAATAAAGTATATTAAAAATATTAACATTTTGATAACATTTATTAATGATGACTAGTATAGGTATATAAAAAATATTTTATATAATTATTGAATAATAGCTTAGTTTTACAGTGAAGTATCCTTTAAAATGCATTGATATTTCAATGAGATTCTGAATTTGTAATTTAAGTTTTAACAGTAAAATATTTAACAAATTTTATAATAAATTGACCATGGGAATTTTTTTAAATGTAAAGAAATTCCATATAAAATACATTATTTAGTTAGTAAATAAATTTTTATAAACTTATTATAAATCTAATATTATATAAAATTATTTTTATTATATTTTATTTGATGTTTATTATAACAACATTTTATATACCAATCAAATCGCTATTTTATTTTTAAATTGTAATTTCAAATCTAATATTCCAAATATATTCTTAATGAAAAATATTGAATTTATTTTATTTTGGATATACTTTAAAAATTATAATCAAAACATTTAATACTTTTTATGTTGTAGAAAAAACTATTTAAAAAAATAATTACAATTATTTATAAATAAAATGTAGAATTTATTGATTATAAAAAATGCTCCATTTTTTAAATATCTAGTTTACACTTAATTAATTTATTTATTATTAAATCAAAATAGTCTTATAAATTATAAGCTATAATACACAATGACGCATGTTTTAATAATAAATAAACTTAAATATAGTTTTTATGTACATTTTTAAATAACAACATTTAATTCAAAATAATTTTGTAAAAAAACAACGGCATAAAAAATAATACATAATATTTTTATATATAAATATTTTTAAAAATTTTGTGAAAGTAAAATAAAGTTTGTAACTTTTTCATAATATTTTTATTTTTATTATTTAAAATAAATACAATGTGTATTATATGTAGAAAATTAAATATTAACAAATAATAAAAAAAGTATATTCAATAGTAATATAATTTTGATGCATTACATAATAGAAAACTACAAAAATTAAATTTTCAAATATAATATTATATTATGTAATTGAAAATGTATTTATAGTTTATATTTTTGATAAACTATTGACGCAAATATGGCTTTGAATTCTTTAATATTTTAAAAAGACTTTTATTTGATTTAAAAATGTTTTATTTATTTTGATTTTATTAGTTTTGTAATATATTATTTTTATGAGTAGTACAAAATAATGTAGTGATAATTTTTTTATAAATACAAATTTGTTTAACATTTAGAAAATAGTTGTAATTTTTTGTTATAAGTTAAAAATCTAATTTTTAATAAACATTTGTTGAAATAAAAAACTATTTAAAAATGATTAAATCATAACCACGCAATTTCAGTTTTATAAAATAAAATCAATTTATAATGTAAAATATAGAGTAATTTGTTTATATGATAATTTGATGAATTACTTAAAACATAATTAAAAATTAAATACAGTATATTATAAATAGTAATGACTATTTTTATTTAAATAATTTTTTCTACTAAATGTACATTATTTAATTAAAAAACTTTTTTATTTTATTCAATTATATTTAGTATTCATCATTAATTTTATGTTTTAATAGATTTAAAGTAAAAACGTCATTTTATTTTTTTTTTAATTTAAATATTTATTATTTAAATCGATAAATGTTGTAAATGTTGTAAATGTTGTTTTTATAAAATATCTTTAAATTATTAAGAATCATAGGCAACAAGTTTTGACAAAAATGTATTTTTATTTGATATTTCATAACAATATTAAATAAATACAATCATAAATCCATTTACCTTAAAAATAGTGACATTTATTTGCTAACATAAAATGTTTTAGTTCACTATTTTAATGTAAAATCTGTTATATAATATATTTTACTGAATGTCTATTAAATTATTATTTTTTATATTATTTCAAATCAAAAGTCACCATATTTTTAACATATAATTAATTATTAATGCTTAAAGCTATATATTAAGATAGTAAAAAATAAAATAAATTTTTAAAAGTATTATAAAATTTCAAAATATTTATTAGATTTGTATAAATTTTATAATTTTTTTCTTTAATACTTAATTTTTTAATTTATATTGTTTTTCATGAAATAATGTTGTTAATGTTATTTTGGTTTTATCTTATTATTAATAACAATGTTAATGTATATTTAACTATTTACTATGTTTGTAATTTTTTTAAAATTATAAAATAAAATCTCAATATTTGAACAAATTTCATACAATAATATATATTTCAAAACAATTGTGATGCTTATTGAAGTTGAAATTAATTAGATTTTTTGGACACTGAAAATCCAACAAAAATTTATTAACAAAATTAGATTCAAAAACATTGCACAATATATATGTAAAATTACATTGATTTATGTCATGATATTTGCCTTATAATTGTTTTACAGTTGTTTTTCAATTTTTGTTGTTGCTTTAGCTATAGTATGTTATCCAATTACATAAATATACGATAGTAGCAAATGTTAAAGTTTAAATTTATTTCAATAATATGTAAATTTTATTTAATTTTTTAATCATTTTAAAATAATGTATTTTATAAAATTAGTGCAAAAATTGATTTTTTTAAAAAATAAAATGAATTTATAAAGAATCTTAAATTTTTACAAATAAATAGTGATTTTCATATTTTTTATGTATTGTAAATTATATAATTTATTTTTTATCTAATTACATTAAATTTAAACTATTAATGACTAACTTTTATAGGAAAATTTTTAATATATGGTTATTTATTTATTTAATTAGCGTTTTAGTAAAATAATATTAAATAATACTTATTCTATGTATGTTATAGTTAGTATTTAATTTAGTTTAAAAATTATTCAAATTAATTAATTAATATTTTTATTTATTAAGTATGTTTAAGATGTACTTATAAAATAATATTTTAAAACTTGTTTGTTTAGAATTATCTAATGTTTCAATAAAAAATTATTAAACAATTATTTTTTTATATCTATATTTATATATAATATTTTATTCATAAGTAGGATATAAATATTTGTACAGCACTTTCCAAGAAAAAAGTATTAAATAAATTGAAATATCTTAATTCATTACGTGATTAAGTTTATATTTATATTGTATTACTAAAATTGATTATTAAGTTAAAAATATTAATTAGTATTATCTATAGTTTTTTCGTAAAAATTTTACTTTTGATTGTTAATTAAAAAATCATTATTTATTGTTTGCTACATATAAAGCAAACAAAAAATTAATTTTACTAATTAATTTGTCAAAGATTTAATATATTATTGTTTTATACAAATTTTTAAAATATTAATTACAATTTTAATAGTGTTAAATTGATGGACCCATGTTTTATTATTAAATATACAGTATGTAATAATAATGTACAGTATATACAGTATATTATAAAATATAACTACTGTACTATAGATTTTTATACTATGCTTACTATAATAATTTATGATTTTAAAAATATAATTATTATTAAAACATTCATTAAAATAAATAAAAAATATTTGAATATTAAGTAATTTTATTATCATTATTAAATTATCATAACCATTGAAAATTTATAAAAATTAAATCTTATTTTATTTTGTATGATTTTAAAACACAAGTTAATTTAAAAATAGAAATAAAATGTAACTTTTTTCTGATGTCATAAAAACAAATAATAGAAATTTATTTTTATGATTATTTCCATTGTTAGGCACTTTTTTAATAACATTAAAAACATTATTTTATATATTATGAATAATTTAGAGATAAGTTTAAAGCAAAAAACATACTCTTTATATTATTATTAAGTAAAAATTAAAGATAACAAAAGTAATAATAATAATTATAATGGAAATAATAGTCTTAAAGTTCATAAATTGAGATAATGGATGTATTTATGTTTTAAAGTAACATACAGTTAATCACTTTGTTTTGTTTGTTTAAAATTATTATTTTTACTGTATTTTACTGTATTGTATGGTATATTCTCTTATGAAAAAAAATATTTCGACACATGTATTAATTTTTTGCATTATTTTTTTGTGGCATTAATGATTTAATAATATATAATATCCTTAATATAAATATATAAATATTCATTGAATTATTTATAATTAACTTTATTTTATAATAGTAAGTTAGTTTTATTATACTGTACATTATTATCACTAGTAGATATTTTACAGTTTACCTATAAGTAAAATATTGATTTTGACTTATAAAGCAAATGCACACAAAAATTTTAATTATGATTTACATTAAAATTCATATCAATAAGTCTATTAATTTATTTATTCATAAGCTATTTCAGTATTTACATACTTACATACATACATGTCTATAGTAAATATGTAATATTAATGATTTTATATACAGCTATGTATATACAGTATATTTATATATATTTTTATAATAATCAATATCAAAATATATAAGGAATCTATTTTTAAAAATAGTGATTAAATAATAATTGTATAATAAATGTATAATCGAAAAAACTATTTGCATTGTATTTTATTGTTTACCCAAACAGATCCATCAATTGTTTTATTCAAGTAAATGGATAACCCATTAATGAGTGGTTATAAACAGTAGTGCTGTTCACCAGAGAGAGAGAAAAAAGTCATTAAACTTAAGATCCAAAAAAACCTAAAAGTGATTGAAATGTTTGGAGGATTGACTGACTCGAGTGTTGAATAAATAGATGATTGCCTTTAACTCCTTGGACTCGACTTTGCCCATCAATTTCCAACTGAGCCATAGAGACATTGATATCAATGAGAGCCATCACAGCCTCTCTCTCTCTCTCTCTCTCTCTCTCTCTCAACATATATATAGTATGTTAATAGTGTTGGCGTTTGGTGTGGTTAGTGATGACCAGTGCTGAGACAAACAGAAAGAAGAAAAAACAAATTGTAGTCAACACACACACACATATATATACACAACATATTTAATCTGTTTATATATATATATATATTTTAATGGGTCATCAGTTGTTTGTCTTGAGCACCGTATGCTTGTATTGTTTTAGTCAGAGAAATGGGCAGAAATATATGATAACTATTGGCCCAAACTATTAGTCACTTCAAATGATGACTATTACCGACTATAAACTGATTGCACAACAAAACTTTACGACAGTTTTAGCGAACTTAAGCACCGGTAGTTTTATGTTTGACAACTATTCATGGTTGTCATCGTCAACGCCGGCAACACATGAATTGTCTATAATTACTAGTGAAAGGACAGATGTTTTTCACGAAATAGCCAACACTGTGCTGACCATTGGTGCCGATATCGGAGCAGATAGTAGTGGACAGTTATCAGTGGTGGACAAAGTCCTAAATAATTTTAGTAATAATAATAATAATATTAGCGATAATTTTATAGATGTAAATAAAGAGATTTATAAAAATAGTATATTGTTTATCGTATCGACGAGTATCGTACTAACAATACTGACCATCTGTACGGTAATCGGTAATATACTGGTCATTGCTGCTGTCCTATTGGAACGCAATTTGCGGACTCCGGCCAACTATTTAGTGTTATCACTAGCAGTGGCCGATTTTTTGGTGGCCTGTTTGGTGATGCCGTTGGGCGCCTTCTACGAGATACAGGGCCAGTGGACACTCGGCGACATATTATGTGAATTTTGGACCAGTGTTGATGTGCTTTGTTGCTCAGCCAGGTAACAGTGCTCATCATAATCGATAAATGGTTTAATTTTTTGTTTAAATACCTATAACTTTATTTTCGTTAGTATTCTCCATTTGTTGGCCATTGCTATGGATAGGTATTGGGCGGTAACTAACGTTGATTACATGCATCACCGAAACGCCAAACGTATTTGTTTAATGATATTAACGATATGGTTAGTGGCGGCCGTCATAGCCATGGCTCCCAACTTTGGTTGGAAAGACTCGGATTACAAAAATCGCATTCAAATGGAGAAGCGATGTCTGGTCTCGCAAGACGTCGGCTATCAATTATTTGCAACTGTGGCCACATTTTACGCACCACTTATACTAATACTACTGCTTTATTGGAAAATATACAAAGTTTGTTATTAATTGATATATTAATACAGTATAAATTTATACTATATATGTTATATAATATACAGTAATTGTCAAATATTTGAATAGTTTGTAATAATTATCAACTAAATTATTATCGATTAAAAGGTGGCCCGACGTCGTATCCGACGTAAACCCGGCAGTAAAATAGAGATCAAAACCAGTCAATTGGATCAAGTGATGGATACCAATTCATCGCCAAATAAGCCGCTGTCGCCAACCGTCATACAAACCATATCACCAAATGTTGACCGAAATTGTCACGAAATGAATCACATGAACACCAAATTAACAGTAAAGTCAAAACCAACGATAGGTCCGCCATCCATGTCTATCACCGATCGCTCGACATCTACCACCTGTGCATCAAACACGACAACAATGACAAACCATTCGCCACCGCTTATCATTAAACCATTACTTTTGAGATCAAAGAGTACTTTAAAACAAACACTTAATTCAAAACGCGAGAAAAAAGCAGCCAAAACACTGGCTATTGTTACAGGTATTGCTTATATTATTTTATTTATATATATAAGATTATATATGACTACCTCCCGGAGCTAAACAACAATAAAATGTATATTTATCATGTTTATATTGTCGCCACAAAACTCATTAATTATCGTATAAAAGCAAATACTATCATAAGGTCAACTTTAACGTAGTGGGGAAATGGATTTATATGGGCTTTATATAGCTATGTGTGTGTGTGTATGTGTGTGTGTGTGTGTGTGTGAGAGAGAGAGAGAGAGAGAGAGAGAGAGAGAGAGAGAGAGAGAGAGAGGTCGTAGCTTTAAGTGTACAGTTCATCGATCATTAAATTTCACAATATTTTACATCCCGGAGCTTTCCTATTCATTATTGTGTTGTGAAATACTAGGCAATTGTGATATTAACACATTTTTGACTTATTTTTGTAACAACGTTAAACAATGTATAAAAATTTCGATTAAGTAATAATAATAATAATAAAAATACTAGAAATAAAAATTATTGTTTAGTTTCTGTTAATGTTTGGGGATATATGTATCGGAAGAGAAACATTATGTCATAAACACACTCACACTTAAATACAGTCATATAAATGGGTTAAAAATAGTTGAAAATAAATACTCCAAAAAACTGTGCACAATATTTGCAATTTAAATGAATTTAATGCAAAAACATTTTTATGAAATTATAAAATTGATATCTTTTACTTTAGTATCTTTTATACGGGTATTATATGACATACTATATTAAAAACATAAGTTACAAATAAACAGTATTATTATATTTTGATTTTTCAAATCCAATGTATGTCAGGTGTGTTTGTCATATGTTGGGCCCCGTTCTTCATTCTGGCTCTGGCTCTGCCTCTCTGTCCCACTTGTAATCCTCCACTGCTTCTGATGAGTGTCTTCTTATGGCTCGGTTATGTCAACTCGTATGTCATGTTTTATTAAAATAAAAACAATTTCAAATATAATAAATTTATTTTTAAAAATATTAATTATACCTTTTGATTTACAGATTACTCAATTGTATAATATATACAATTTTTAGGTAATTAAAAATTTTTGTTTTGTTTAATAATTATGTGATCTTTGATGTTCCACTATTTAATTGGAAATTAAATAATATTGTAATTTAAATTATTTATAACAATTTGATGAGAAAATAATTTGAATTATCACAAGAGTAGACATTGTTTTATATCTCTTATATCTCTAAATCTCAGTTTTATAGCAGATTTAAAGTGTTATTTTTAATTTTATTTGCAAATTGTAACTACATTTTATGCATAACATAGATTTTAGTTAATACATAACACCCAATAAATTTTAAACATTTAAATAATGTTATATATATACAATATAACACAAATATAAAAACCTTAAATTTATAAATTGAATCCGATTATAAATAGGTACAGTATTTGCAAATAATTATAAAAATTTTACACAATTTATAAATGTTTTTTACGTGTCAATGATTTTTATTTTATTTTTGTATACATTATTATGTTAATCTATAATTTTTTTGTTGAAAAATCTGATAAAACTTAATTATATAAAATAAAAGTGAACTAAACTAAATCATTTGGTCATATTATAATTAACACTATTATAAAAATCATTTAATTTAATCCTTATTGCATTAAAATTTTTTATTTTATCTCAATATTGACTCGAGATATATGACTAGATTTGTTAGATTAAGACTATACCCACTGTAACAAACAATATTGATTTAAATTAAATTGATTATATATTTTGTTGTTGTGTTAGCTTTTGTAGCGACTCTTTAAATACAGTGAAACCCCAGAGATTTTGACTTAACTTTTAATGAACACAAAGGAAATCAAAGCCTAATTTTTGTGATATTAAGCCTACGATTGCGTTAAAATTAATTACTAAATGACTTACTCATTATATTTTTGAGTTAAATCCTTTATTTTTTTAAATTTTAGTTTTTGGATAATTTTATTTTAAAAATGATATACTTATTTAAAATTATAGTTTCAAACATTTATTATACAATTAAAAACTAAGTTTGTTGTAGAAAGTGATTAAATTATTTGTTGTTGTTGTTGATTAAAATTTAAAAGTTATGCCTTTTTGGTTATGAGATAAACAAATTGTTTTAAACACTTAATCATTTCAAAGATTAAACAGTTATAATAAACCATATAATATAGTAAATGTACAAATCTATTATTAGCTAAAATAATAATAATAATAATAATAATAATAACAATACCGGTAATAATACTAATAAGTGAAATTAAAGTTATTGAAGAGTATAAGCGGATATAAAATTATTTAATACAATGAATGCATTTGTGTTTTACTTAATGTTGTTTTTCACTTTGACTTATATTCACTGACTTTTATCTTTAAATGTTAGAAATGCTGTGAATTAAGCAATACTTTTTGACATCTCAAACATCAATAGATATAACTTATGGATCTTTCTATCCATTTCTCTTACTCTATCTATTTATTTATTTATCTATATATATATCTTGATCTTATTTGACTTATAAAAATCTAAATGTTAACTATAAGAGAGAGAGAGAGAGAGAGAGAGAGAGAGAGAGAGAGAGAGAGAGAAAGAGCGAGCGAGAGATATATAGAGTAGTATTAAAGTAAAAGAGATAACTATTGAACAACAATGGCTAGAAAACAATGTTATAAAAACAATACAATTAAATGCAAAAAAAACTTATTAACTATTTTTTCAAGTTTTATATATATAAATAAACACTGATAAAATAAAGTGAATAAGTTGTTATATTCAGTGAATTGAAAACAAAACACAAACTTAAACAAAAAACACTAAACAAAAACCTTTTTTTAAATAAAAGAGCATTGAATGAGATAAGTGATGCACAAAATAAATACTATATACTCCATATATGGCACCAAAAAATATATAGACTTTTTTGAATAAATTTCTATTTGTTTATTAGATCCATAAAAATTCAATTTTAATTTTAAATATGCATAATATCTGTATAATATAGTGAAATATTTTGTTGAAATATTTTTTTCATTGTTTTAAAAATAAAATATTAAAATACAAATATTGAATATTATTAATATGAAATTCAATATAATCTTAGTATTGATATCTTTAACTCTCTCTCTCTCTCTCTCTCTCTCTCTCTCTCTCAAATCATGATTAAAAAGTTATTTTTTATTTAACTATTATTTTTATAATACAATATGAAATTTCTTTATTATTTTTTAAAATTTTATATAATATTATAATATACTATAAAGCATAACTAATATTGAGATATATTATATTCAATATAACTGTAACACTATTTTATTTATTTATAATATTAAATATATATCTATTTTTCTCCTCAATAGCCCTGACTTCCGGACTGCCTTCAAGAAGCTATTATGCGGTCGACAACATCGATATCGCCATTCATTTAGATAACACACAGTTACACACACACACACACACACACACACACACACACACACACACACACACACACACACACACACACACATACATACACACACTTCAGACACTTTGCATTATCTGTTCTCACATTTTCTCCTATTGTATAAACTGGTAATCATTATATACATACAAACACATTATATTGTTGTCATACATTTGCCACAAATGCCATCATATTATAAATAATGGCTTTAAAGTGTGTGTAAAAAATAAACAAAATTGAAATATATATAAATATACCAATAATTTTGACATCCAAACTATTGAACAAAAATCAATAATTATATTATTGTAAATGTAGTTCAATTTCGATAGATTTAGGATATATTATATTTAGAATGTATTATATATTATAGATTTAGCAAATGTTAACAAATGTATTGTAGTTTTTATATTTGTTTATAAATTTATTATATGTTATGTTAGTGATAGTACAGTATATTTGGTAGTATGTTATCGATAATTTGAAAATTTTATTTTTAAAATAATCAATGTTTTAATACAATAAAATAAACATTTAAAAAATATTTATTGATGTATATTTTGTAAATAATTATTTGTTTTATATAAATAAAACATTTATTTCTACAAATATATTGTTACACCAGTATTTAAATAAACTGTTCAATTGAAGAAAATATAAAAGTAAATACAATATATATTTTATGTACATATCAATTGTAAAACCTTTACTGTAAACATATACTATCATAAATATATATATATAGAAATAGATATATTTTTTCTTTAAAAAAATGTTATTTAAAGTTAAATACTGAATATATTTTATTTTCAGAAAAAATGTTATATAAAATTGAAATAAATTAGATTTTCGATACATTTGACTGATTTCTTGAAATAAATAAAAGTTTTATTTCAAATTTTTTTTCTCTCTCTCTCTTTAAGTTACAGATTGAGTTCATACTATGATTTGTTTATAAATAAATATGTTTGTGATTTGGATGAGAATCTATGGGTCCAAACAATTTGATAAATAAATTGAAGCCATACTTTCCATGACTATAAACGTCAACAATAATTGATAGAAATTTTTCATATATATATTGTATTTGACATTTATGTCACAGTACTTTTGGAAACAAATAAAAATATTAAATGTCAATAAACTATATATCTTTTTTAATATATTCAATATATTATTTTTGATGACACATAATATAACATATACTGTATAAATATTAGTATAGTATTGAATTTGATAATATGCTATTTTAAAAATTTTATTTATTTATTATTATTATTTTAACTAAAAACACACATGTGTTATATGTAAAATTGAAATATATATATATTAAAAAATCTGATAACTAAATTTTGAATATAATTTTAGTAATATTTTAAATATTAATAAGCAATATTAGTTTATTTTTAATTTCTATTAATTTGTAATTTTTATTAAAAATAATTATTTATAGTCATATTTTATGTCACCAGAGAGCGCAACGTTTTGAATAACAATGATATTTGTAATAATAATAATATTTGTATTATTAATGTTTATACGGTATTTAATAATTGAAATATATTAGTAAAAGGATATATAATATAAGTAATAGTTTTATTTATAATTATAATCTATTATTAATTTTTATTTACTTAAAAATCTAAATAATTAATATTATTTGAATAAGAATTATTAAATTATTATTAATTGAATAAAATAACAAAAAAATTACGTTTATTTTAAAAAAAAATAAATTAATATTTCCTGCAATACATTAGTGTTTAACGTTAAGAGTGTTTTAATCGCGAAAAACGTTTTAAAAAAATCTTTTTGTTTTTATTTTTCATTTAAAAAATCTTTGATGATATAAAAATAAATCTTAATTATAATTTAATTTATTGTGATTTACGTGTATCACTAATGATCATAAAAATATTGATTTTTTGTTAAAATTATTTATCAATAATGATGTTTAATAAAAAAGTTTATTTTTAAATGCTGTAAAAAACTTTACTATTTTAGTTACAAAAAAAACTGTTTTAAATCATAAAATGAGAATAAATTAAACTTTTTGTCAAAAATGTTAGTTTACATAAATTTAGTTAATGTAATATTTTAAAACAAATAATAATTTTTATTTGATTAATGATTAATTTTAACAAAGTATTCATGTTTTCAAATATTCAAATGGATATAAAGTGAATTCAAATTATTATAAATGTTTGCTAAACATAAAGATTTTATCGATATATTTATGAATCTTTTGTGTAATTTATAAATACATTTTACAATTTAAAATGTTTTTTAATATAATAAAAGTTTTCAAAATTTGTTTGAAATTTTTTTTATAAAAAAGAAATAAACTTGTTATTGTAAGTAAAGCAAATTTTTAATATAAATTATAATAAATATACTAAAATAATAATAAAATTTAGACAAAAAAATTAAAAGTAAATTTTATAAATTGACAAAATATATGATGCAAATTTTAATATTATTATAATAATATATACTGTATATATTTTTACTGAAAAATTAAATCAATTTTAATCATTAATGTGAATAATTTTAATAAATTATACAATTTATTATATTTTAATTATTAAATAATTACACACTTGACTGAATTAATATAAATTACTAAATGATATCTAATAATAACACATTTGACAGTTTAATTTTAAAAATATTTTCTAAACATATAAAAATGTTTGAGCAAATGTTAAAATCAATAGCAAAAACATTGTAGAAAATTTGGCAAATAGTTTATTAAATATCAATATATATTATTTAACATTAAGTTTAGAAATATCTGTATTTTGTAGACATGTGTGTTGTTAATAACAGTCTCACAAATTTCATGTAATGGTTTGATATTAAATACTGTGAACAATAAAATTAATTTTTCTTTCTATCAAATTATGAAAAAATAGTACAACAATACATATCATATATATATACAGTATATATACTTATATGATATATATATATGATAGCAGTGTTTGTATTTGTCAAAAAAACTATAATTATTATAAATGAAAAAGTATTAAAACTTATATACGACAAATATACGATATATTGTACATTATATAACACATAAAATATATAAAAAATAAAAATTAAGATTAAAGTATAGAGTAGTATGATAAGAAAAAAATATATTTTTATTTTTGGTTTATAGATGTCTACAACAATTTTTGTTGTTGTTTTTAACAAAAAAAAAGAAAGATTTTATTATAACTTTAATAATAAGTAGCTGTCAATTAAATATATAATTTAATATACATTTATGTCAATTACTATTTTAAACGCTCATAAATCATATGTTATAAGATATGATTAAATGTTTTTGTTAAATAATATCTATCAGTTTTATATTTCTATAAAAATAGCCAATAACTTTCAATTTGAGATAAATATTTATTAATTTCTTATTTATTTTATAATAGTTTTTAATTTTCTTAATTATTTAAATGATAAAAACAGACAAATAAATTTTAACATAAAATAGATTAGAAATTGTAATTTTGTGACACAAATGTTGCATTTATATTATTTTTTTAAATAGTAATCAATTTGTATAACATTTAAGTTCATTATACATTCAGATGGTATACACAATACAATTCATACAAAATAAATCCAATAAATGAGTTTTGCATTTAATTTGCAAAAAACATCTGACATTACAACAAATAATAAAAATTATATAAAAATCACAATTTGTCTAAAATAATTTAAATAACATTGTTTGGCTAAATTAAATTATAAATTAAAATATCAAATATGCATTAACATAAATGTTTTCTATGATTTAATTAACAATATAACAAAAAAATTATATTAAAAAATTATTTTTACTGACATATTATCAGATATGTTATGAAATATGTATTATAATGCAAATTATACTATAAAAATATTTGAAAATATAAATAATTAAATAAAAATGTTTAATTTAACAATTTTAGCATTAAATTTTGTAGTTAATGTTGGCAAAATAAGAGAAATTTATAAAATAATAGAGAAATTTCTAGAAAGTTTCTAAAAAAATTTAATCTATAGGATTTCATTGTTTTATTTTGTTCTAAAGATATTTGTTATCTTTTAAAAATACATTGATTTTATTTAGTATTTTAATTATCAATTAAAGTAAAAATTGATTAATTTAATTATATTAAACTATTATATATTAATATATAATAAAATGATAAATAAAATTTTACAAAACTGATTATTATTAAATAATTATAATTATTTTATATATAGGTATCCCATAGTATTACAATAAAGTCAAATTTCTATAGAAATTTATTCTTGAAAAAATTTCTAGAAACTTTCACAGAAATTTATTAGAAACTTTCTATTTGTCCATATTTCTAGTTTTAGTAGTAATGTTTAAAGTGGTATTTTATTTTTATTATTAAATTTAAATATTTAACATTTTAAAATTATTTTAGTATTTAGTAATATTATGATATATAAATTATAAGAATTACTTATTTATTTCTAGGAATACAATTATTGAATAGAAATAATAATAATAATAATAATAATACACTACTAAACAATTATTTAACTGAAATATTTCATATGAAAATTGTTAATAATGTTAATAACACCTGACACTAGCATAATAGCAATTGTGTGACAGTTAGATACTGTATAATAATAATAATAATAATAGTGTCATAAACAGAGATATATAAACCAAAAGATATTAACAATAAACAACTTTTTACTCCCAAATAAAACACATAGATTTGATGTACAGTTTATATATAAATTTATCTATTTCTATATTGTTATACTATTGTTATATTGTATATAATAATAATAATATATATATATAGATATATTAATAAATGCAAGTGTTATTTACAACGAAAATATTTATAATAAACAACAATTTAATGACTTGTATTGTAAAATATATGAACAGAGAATGTTTTGTTTTTATTTTTTATAAATCAATTAATTGTTAAACATATATGATATTATTATT